TCAAAAACTGGAGCCTCAAGAAATACAGGAGATTAATGAACTCTTTTCCTCAGGATGTGTACGAGGTGTGTCAGAAAAGTTCCAGGACTGGTGTCACAAAAGATATATTTCAAACTACAAACCACAAGTTTTCCCCTTCACAGTAATTCCCCTGGAGTCTAACACACTTTCCCAGCCTTCTCTTCACGCCGCCATGCACTCCTGGAAGGATTCTTCTGAGATCCTCTGCAGCTCTGTTGTCACAGACATCTTGATGTCGTCCACATCTTCTAAACGGGTCACCTTGATGACCCCGTTGAGCTTGGGGAAGAGGAAACAATCCCACAGAGCCAGGTGGGGTGAGTAGGGAGGTTGCTCCAGCATGGAGATGTTCTTCTCAGCCAGGAACTGTGGGATGCTCAGGACATTATGAGCAGGCGCGTTGTCATGGTGAAGCAGCCACGACTTGTCCTGACACAACTCTGCCTCTTCTTGCGCACTGAATGAAGCAAAAGGATCTCTTTTTAGACGTGCTGGTTGATCGTCTGAAGGGGAAAACTTCTGGTTTGTAGTTTGGGTTTGAAATATATCTTTTGTGACACCAGTCCTGGAACTTTTCTGACACACCTCGTATGATTTACAAAGGTTGTACAAGGTTGATATTTAAAAAGTTCTTGGTCACACCTGAAAACAAGAGGCATAACTCCCATTTTGGGACATAACTATAGACTGTAAAGCCTTATGTTACTGTCCACAAAAACTTCAATCAATCGCATAAACATGGAGAGGAAAGCTTCAACGTTTTCAGAGTGATGAAAAGATCGTGCATGCTGCTGAGGAGCGTCTGCAGGCTCTAGATGTGACCTTCTTTCACAAAGGGACATTGAAGCTTTAAGCCTTTATAGGGCACTCATTGAAATACTTGGAAATGTAAAATTTCAAACCTGGAGTGTTATTGGTGGATATAAGGGGACATTTTTTTTCTTTTCTGACTTTTCAAAAAGCTTTTAGATTTAGGTTGCAAATCAAAGTCACAGCAGTTATCAGATGTAATTCCTCTCTCACCGAGGGTAAAAAACAACAAAAAAACAATAATGTGGTTAAAATATTGTAAAAAATACACACATAAAGATGAAGAAATCACCAGTCAGTTAAGCTAAGCTAACTGCAAATGTTTGAAAATGTCAAACTATTCCTGGAACTACCACAAAAACAAACAATTAAAACCTCAAAAACTAAAGCAACTAAAAACGACAGAAGTGCACGGATTAAATGAACTGCATCAGTTTGTCTGAGGGGGTTTCCAGAGATATTCGACCCACTGAAGAAGCACTCGAGCAACTTAATTTTCTTGAAAACACGTTTGCGTCCTTACATGTAAGTCTGACATCATTTTGCTTTATGTGAATTTGGGAGCATCTTCCTCCTCTGTACTGCTTCCCCTCTGTGAATCAGCTGCTGAGTGAAGCAACCTCATTTTAGCTTTAATTTGTTTTTCCTCTTGGCACGCTGACCCGCATGAAAAGGTGCCAGCAGCTCCTCAGCCGCCTCGAGTAGCCTGTTGCGAGATCTCCATTGATAATCAAGTGGGCCTCGTCATTACGCTAAGAGATATTTTATGGCTCTCGCATTGTTAAAACAGCAAAGCGTCACAGATTAGTCATTACTCCATTTGTTAGGCTGTGTGTGGTGTCTGTTCGGCCCGAGGCCTCCGGCGAGAGGAGCAGCTAGTAGCCGCGGGACGGTTGACTGGACATCAATGGGCTCAGTGTTTGAGTCATCAGCGAAGCCTGAGATGTTTTGGGGATTCATCACTTTTGTTTTTGTTTATTCAAGTATCAGGTTAATCTGCCTTAGAAAAGTCTGCAAACGGCCTGACCTCTTCCCAAAAGCTACAATCCTCCCCCCGCCGCTGACAGCTCGGCGTGTCCATACGGCACAGGGAAAATCCAGCAATGTATACTTTGTGTGTTTGGGTGTGTTATCTATCTGAGCTCCCACACACACTCAAGGATCCCCTGCAAGATGAAAGGGAGCAGATTATGTATTGTGTGAAGTTTTAGCGCTCTTCTCTGCTGACTCTGTTCTATCACATTCAATCAATGAAAGTTTTCTTGCCGTGTTTTGCTTTTTGCAGGGAATCACCTTCGAAGAGTTCAGGTCCTTCTTCCAGTTCCTCAACAACCTGGAGGATTTTGCCATCGCCATGCAAATGTACAACTTTGCAAACCGCTCCATCGGTCAAGGTAAAGTCTCGCTGTCTGGAGTCACATGCGATTTGCACAACAATTAGCCAGGAGTTGATGCATCGTTTAGTTTTGGTTACAGTCTGGTTTCTTTCTTGTGATTCTGGAGGAGAAACACAATATTTCCAGAGTGTTCTTACTGTTTGCACAGAACCGAGGTGCACGCATACTGCTGTGGATGAATAAAAACATGGAACGTGGAAAATGTCATTTCAGCTCCAATAGATTTGTACGTTCTTGTGAAAAATGACTTCAGACACATGCACACAAAGTTGTGATCTGGTGAGCGTCTAGAGTGGAAAATATTGTGCTTTCTTCCTCACTAAATTTATCTGACAGCTTTATTTACTTTTAAGATGAAGATTTTACACAGTGGATAATGTATCACGCTTTTAAAATACAACACATTGTTAAAAAGTAAATCAGTTCCCATCATTTTTGGCTTCTTGCAAAGAGCAGCGGGGTCACATTTCAGACGTCTATGAGTTGTTAACAGCTCCACCAAATAGGGATTTTCCCTCTTTAAACTCCTCACCTGGTCATGTTTTAATAAATGATCCAATGTCTCAACAAAAATCAAAGATTAAAGAAGAAAGTCCAAAAACTTGATGGACAGGTTTGTGGATCAAAATTTTAAATTCTTCCATTAATCATGTTGGGAGCCCTCGGATTTATCTGCTGTCCCTGGATATTAAACTGGATATAAGTCAAGCAAATCTGCAGCAGCTACGACAGTAACATGCTGCCAACACACTGATGCTTCACTGTTATTATCTATATATATACTGATATGTATGTCAACGAGGCCAAACCAGTACTTTTAGTGTAATATCTTGACTTTATTTTGTCTTATTTTGTCTTATGACTTTATCTTAGGTAGGATTTTTCTTGCAGGACCTCAATAAAATGCAATTAAATCACTTTACTTTGCTGTTTAGCTCATTTCACTTAAGTAATAGTAATAATAATACACATTATTTCTATAGAACCTTTTAAAACAGGAGTTACAAAGTGCTTCACAAAGCGTTAAAATACACAAAACATTAGATAAAACTGTAAAAAGCATCTCCACACTTCCTCCACCACTTCATAAGCATAAATTTACTCTAATCTACTAAATTAAATGTTCATTATACTTGCAAATTCTTCATAGTCTTCCATTAAAAGCTATAAAAAATGTCCAGAAGTCTGATGTGCACACCTGAACTTTACACCCACGTGTGACTGCAGCAGCTTCCTCTCCTGCAGGCAGGTTTTCCTCAAGGTGTTGGATAAATGCCTGCAGGGATTTACTCTCATTCAGCCCCAGGAGCATTAGTGAGATGCTGGGTGACGACGCCTGGCTCGTAGTCAAAGCTGTCGGTTAACCTGAAGGTGCTGGATGAGGACGAGGCCAAAGACTGAGAAGTACCGAAACCACAGTGTAGAAATACAGCAGAAGTCATGTGTTGTGCTTGAGTTAAAGCACACGTGTGTTAGAATCAAATTACACCTAAAGTACTCATGCAGAGTCATATGTAATACTGGATTATAGTTATTGATACATGCACGTGTTTATCACTTTAAACTGTTAAATGTGACTTTATAAGGTTTATCTGCTGGATAGTTTGTGAATCTCCCCTCAGGGATCAAAACAGTTTGTCATAATCTATATTATTGCATCACAGTTTGTTTGTTGATTATATTTTGTATTATTAACCAACATCTGCAAAGTTATGACAAACATGTGGTGGAGTAGAAAGTACAGCACTTCAGTACATGTGCTTCGAAACTTTATTGTCATTAGAATAGAGTGCAAGAAATTTGGAATTAAAATTGTGCAAAACAAAAAGTCTACAAAAAGAACATCCTTTAACAGTCTGTAAGAGAAATTCTCAGAATAGTTCAGCTTCTAGTTTATTTTCCACAACTGCAGTCAAGCGCAAAGTTTCACTGTTTTATAAAATCAGAAACAAAGTGGGCTGTTGTTTAGGCCTTTTAATCATCTGCTACCATCTTAGATTTAGTTTGTTGTTTTATGTGTGATGCATCACTTGCTGTGTTGTCTAATATCACATGACTAATACTGAAGGTCAGGATGCCTTCGCTTTAACAGACTGATGAAGCCAGCAGTGTTCCATGTCCCACGTCTGAGAAAAGGGCTTTACTGTGTCTCTCAGTTTCAGCTGAAACAGTTCTGTATCCTCCCTGCATCGCTGCATTTGTCTTGTTTTAGTTCCTGTTTTCAGGAAGGTTTAGAAGTTTAGAATCCAGTGGTCTTAAAAAGCTGTTGAATGTACAGGAGGAAGGTTTGTCACTGCTGAAGAAACTGCTCTTCACAGCAGAACAATGTCTTAATCTTAAAGATATCCATGAATTAAGTGACGTTCACCAGTCAGCTGCTATAAAAAGAGCTTTTGTGAATTCATCTTATCCCTTTAAATGTCAAAGTATTAATGTTAGTATCAGGAACAAGCACATAATAATCCAGCACGTCCTTTTAGGTGCTGATTTATTGTTCACTCTCCATCTGATCACCTGTTTCTCTTCCCTCTCAGATGAATTCACTCGAGCCGTCTACGTGGCCACGGGCATCAAGCTGACTCGTCACCTGGTCAACACCGTCTTCAGGATCTTCGACGAGGATCACGACGGCAAACTCAGCCACAAGGAGTTCATCGGCGTCATGAAGGACCGGCTGCACCGCGGCGAAGGGGTGAGGGCTCTGCTAAACGCCATTTATTTTATTTTATGGCTCTGAAGGTGACAGAAAAGATGCACCGGACTCCTCCTCCCTCGTCAGCCTCAGAGGGAGAAGCCGGCGTCGGATGTGAAAGACATCAGCGTTGTAAATCAGTCTGTCAGCTGCCGTTTGATGTGCAGCCTGTCAGCGAGGAAGATGGACTCACGGAGGACAAACAGGCGAATGTGGGCTGATGCTGAGCTCAGAAACACGTGTTTAGTCTCAAAACAGTACTTTCACACAATCTGGCCTACTTAAGCAGCTATTAGCAACAAAACACCATGTGTCCTGTTTAATTACTGACTTTGAGTGAGGACTAATTATGTGTCTTTTTTCTTTTCGGCAGCAGTATACTTAAATAACTCCATATCATCATGTCTAAATTACACTCCTGTCACTGACACGCAGCTCCCGCGATGTGAGAGTTGTGTGACGTTATACTGCCATCTAGCGGGACGCCGGGAACTTCTGGGGAAATAAAATGTCTTTCTCCAACATGTTCACAGGGCATGAGAGTGGAGGAGAAGTTCATCTCCTTCAAGTCCTGCATGAAGAAGGAGCTTTCAGGCAAATAGGTAAAAGTCTTTGTTGGCATTTTCTGATTAACAGGATGAGGATAAAAACACACAATTGTCAAACGTGAAGCTTAAAAGTCCAAGAATGTTTTTTTTTTTTAACTGCTTCTGTGACAGAGTAGCTTAGACGCACCGCAGCATTTGAGATGAGCGTTGAGGCCCACACACTCTCCTCGCCTCAAGCATTAAGTTTCACTGTAATATTAACGCCTGAACAACTGCCACCAGATACCAGCTTAGGTCTGCATACATGAGCAGCGAGCAGCGCCGTCTAAAGCTGTATAAATGTTTCAAAGGAAATGCACCTCTCAGGAGGGAGCTTATTAATCTCCCCTGATGAGAAAGGACTCGAGTCTTTTTGCAAGCAGTGCTGCAATTTAAGAAAAAAAAAAAAGCGTCTATCTGAGAAATCTGTTTTTGTTTTTGGGCATTTTTGTGCTTTTATTGAATCAAATATAGGGACAGAGCATCGGTGCACATGTGGTGTACAAACTAACAACTTGGCGACACCCACAAAATATAAATATATATATAAAAAGATAGAATAACCTCAATTTAGCATCATTATTGTGAGATTTTTAGAATATTGAATGTACAGTGATGAGGTAATATTTAATTTTGGTTTGCTTTGATATGATTGTAACCTTCCAGGGGGAGGATGGGTGCTCTTGTATTTTTCTTTTGGATAAAGATAAGCCCACAGCCAGCAGCCTGTTAGCGTAGCTTAGCATTAAGACTGTAAACAGGAGGGAAAAGCCAAATGGGCTCCATCCAAATGCCACTAAATTAACCTCCCAGCGTCTCTAAAGCTCATTAGGTAATGTGTTATGGTGTATAAACACAAAGGCTGTGGTTTAATTGTGTGTTATGTGCATCATGTGAGGGTTATTATGTCATGATCAGAGGCCATGAGAAAGGACTGAAATGTACAATGAAGGCCAATAATTAGTTCATTTATTTCAACAAAAAAGCCCCACAACACTTCAAATGTGCCTCAGAGTTAGAAGGTTCTTGGTTCGACTGCTGGATCTTTCTGTTTGCTGACCTCTAACGCTCCACTCCAGTCGGAAGTAGAGTCAAGTCAAAAACTTCAGGCGCTGCTTCAACCTGCACAACTCTGCAGTAAAACAATGACGAGATCTGTAATATTACAACTAACTTATAACCTTTAGATTACAAGGTGCTGTAGATTTGTAGGACAGCTACAACCGACTTTTTACCGTCGACTCAAATACAGCCAATAATGATGGTATGAACATTTTCAGTGTACAGCAGGTTGTTCACTAATCACAGTTGGGCACAAGCGACCGTAACTGCCGATTTCAGCAATCACACTGCAATCTCTCCAAGAATTGCACTTTCTAGCTACATGGCGGCTGCCTCACAGCAAGAAGGTTCTGGTTCAAACTTTGTTGGCTTTTCATTGTTTGCCCTCTGTAAGCTGGTAACCTGTCCAAGATGTGCCCTGCTGCTCGCCCTTTGTCAGCTGGGATAGACTCCAGCATCTGCAGGATAGAGGGAGTGGAGCTGATGGAGAGATATGAACAAAAAAACATGGAATCAACACAAGATAACCCCCAAAATACCAGATGTGGGAGTCAATATAATCAGTAGTGATGTGATGTTAGTTCTGTCAAATGGCACAAAACAAACAAAAATGCACGACAGACGAAAGCTTTACTCGGACTGAGGAAGGGATTTATCGAAGGAGAAGCATCAAACCACTTGTTCTGATGGTGAGATCCGACCACCTAATGCAGTGTAGAAGTGCAGCACATAGACAGAGAAGCGGACCACCACAATGATCATTTTCCCTCTTTGGTTTAATCTTAAGCTAAGCTAACCAGCTGCTGCCTGTAGCTTCATATTTACTCTGCAAACACGAGTCTGTGTGATCTCATCAGACTCCACAAGGAAGTGAATCAACTCATTTCTCAAGATGTCAGAGTTTTCAGCCGCACTGTTGCCATTTTCAGCCTTCCTACGAATCTATTTTAAGGCGATACTCCCCGTTATGTTTTAAATGAAAGAAAATAATTGAAGCATTTGTGAGAGCGTCTTCTTTTTATGCTAAATATCTACAGCTTTGGCCACTGCAGGGGACCCAGACTTTTTTCTGCGTACTTGCAGAACTGCTGCTGCGCTGTGGTTTTTGTTTCTCGGTATTCTAATTTTTCAGTGTCTAATTACAGCCACAGAATGCACAAGAAATGTGAAACTGTGCGAAGCTCAAATGCAGGAAAGACACAGATTGTTCATCCAAGTTTCCTCCACTTTAGCTTCACACAATGGATCCTGAGTGTGATCTTTGACAGCTTGACTGATCAGCTCAGTGATCAAAACCAGCTTTGTTCAGTTACAGCTTTTAGTCAAGGTGAAGGCCGATATCTCTCCTTTGAAGAAGTTATTCATGCATTCATTACCCGTCAACTAGACTATTGTGATTCCTCGAATGTGGCCAGAGAGCAGCTATCTGGTACGAAATGCTGCTGCTGCTTGTGTTCTAACAGGAAAAAGAAAACGTGATCACATAAAACGGGTGCTGGCCTCCCTCCTGTGGCTTCCTGTCGTTTCCAGGATGGATTTTTAAGATTTTATTGCTTGTTGTTATGGTTTTAAATGGGCTTTATTTATCTTGCTTCATCATAGCTCAGTTCGAGCATTGAGGTTGAACAAACAGATAGACTCTGCAAGAGTTTAGCTTTTAATGGGAGACTTTAGAAACCTTTAAATTGCTCATTCTAGAAGAGCTCAACACTCCTCAACTTCATCTTTTAAGTTTTCGTTCTTGTTTGATTGTCTTCTATTCAGATTTTGTCTTTTAGTCCCTGTGTGTGATTGTGTTTCGGTGTTTCATGGCACTTTGGTTGAACTACTCTTGCTTTTAAACGTGCTTTATGAATGAATTTGACTTTGAGTTTGACTTTGTCTCCCACCAGGTGAACGCTCCGGCTCCGGTGCACGTCTCGCCGGCTTGGACGAGCTGCGTCTCCTCTGCGCTCTCCGTCGGGACGAAGGGTTCATGCATGCTGCAGCATCTTTTTAACATAAACAGGAAGTGGCACAAACAGGATGTGGTCAAGCTAATGGAAATCTGTTACACAAGTGGTCGAACACACACAAATGACCCAAAATGAACCGAGAACATCCACTTCAGTCAGTGTTACAGTCCTCTAAATTGCACTTATTAGTTTATCTAAATGCTTTTTATTGCTGTTATTTATTTATCTATAAGCCTATTGCTTGCTTCGTTGCTTGCATGCTTCGTCCTTTTATCGGTTCTGCAGCCTCCTGCACACGTCGACTCAGGACCTCCTCCTCCCCCTCCTCCTATTTCCTCCCAAAGCGCTGCAGCTAAAATCCTCCAGGATCCTCCAGAGCCGGCAGGCCTGAACACACTCGCTCGGTCTCTGGCTTTTTCACTGTTTAACTACAGGCAGCTAACAGTGTTAATCATTTCTTGGCTCAGAGTGAAGAGAAGCGCCGCTACGCCACTGCAGGGATGACCTCCATATGAATAAATATGCAAAATATCGAAGCCATATGTCTGTTTGACTCTTGGGGCGCTCGGCTTAAATTATCATTGGTTTTAGCAGGAGCAGAACTTTAAGATGACCTTTATCGAATAGAAGAGCTTGTACTTTTGAATAACAGTTGTTGTAATGTTTGCTTTGGGTGCACTGAATGCTTCAGGCGTGCTTTAATATTAACCAGGCTCATGTGTTTCTATTTCAGACTCTCTTCTGTTTAACTCTTGGATTAGTTAGTCTACCTCGTTTCTTTTAAACCAGGCCTCGACTGTTACTGTCAGAGCGCAGATGCATTTCTAATGACATGGTGCAATAAATACAAGAACAAATATTTGGATCCTCTGTGTTTTTTGTCCTCTTTCTCTCACACAAAACTAATGCATGCCAGTGATTTCTTGCCTTGCTGCAGCTGTGATCACCGTTTTCACGTGTGTCGGCTAATAAACCAACCCTGCTCTCACCGTCCTCTCAGCAAACCTTCTTCTCTTTGCGACTAAAGTGGACCGAAGGCAGGACCACAGTAGAATAAATTAGCTGTTTTAATCTCAACCTGAAGGCAAATCATTAACAGTATTAATCATCAGGAACCTGAGACTGTGTGGGCGTTCAAGACTCCAATCAGGGACTTTTTAAAAAAAAAAAATCTTTAAATGATTTATTCAGCAGGGTAATAATTTGCAGTCTCACACTCTAATCCTGCACTTAGTGAAGTAACATGACGGGGGTCCTTCAAGGTTTCTGTACCAGACCTGTGAAATGTAAAGAGAAGGTGTGTTTCATTGTTCGGCCACTCTTTAACTCTCTAAAGGAGTTTGTTGGCGTTTTCTGCTCCTGTCACATTTGTTACTCATTGTAGGCTCAAAAATGGGTTCTGTTCAGTTGTAATGCCAGAAATCCTAAAAAAAAAAAAAAAGAGAGAAGCCATGTCGATTTTTAATTATTTCACACAATTTAAATTTTAAAAAATGGATTAACATGTACAATATTTTTCCGAGTGCCTCTGTGCGTTGCCAACACTGTACAAAAAAAAACAGCGTCTCTACATATTATTGATATTTTAGTATCTGTCATGTCGCACATCAAATCTAGAAAGTCATTTCACCGTGCTGAATGTATCTTCCAACAACTTTCTCCTCTGTATACCGTTTTTGAGCCATGCTGCATTTATTTTTATCAGTCAAGTATGTTTTATTTTCTTCTCAGTCTCTCTAAAACTGTGGCAGCGAGGAGACGAGTACGGATCAGGATTAAACACTTCCTGCAGTTCAGCCGAGAAGTCTCTTCATTTTTGTCATGTGATTGTTGGCTTGTTGCTTCTCAGTTGTGCTTGTGACAAATTTTTAAACGAAATATTTGGAATTTTGATTAAATATCACAATTTCTTACATTTAATTATTTCTGCCAACAGAGCGACTTCCTGTCACAGATGATTAGACGACTGAAAAGTTGAAAATCTGATGATTCCCTCTGTTTTTACAGTTTCTTGCTCTGGTATATTTTTAAATGATAACGTTCCTTTTGACCTGCCATTGGGCTAAGAGAGAGATATGTTACTTTTTACTCCACCTGTTTGTGAATAAGATTAGATGGAGCTTTATTGATCTCTTTGGTTGGGTACCTCAGGGAAATTGTTGAAGCTTAGTTCCCTGACCGGGAATTGAACCCGGGCCGTGGCGGTGAGAGCGCCGAATCCTAACCACTAGACCACCAGGGAATAAATCTTATAAATTATCTGCTTAAGGTTAAGAGGAATCTTGTTTTTTGAAACGATCCATCAGTACCTTGTAATATTCTCGACTCCAGCTGATGGTGCACTCGAATTATGTAACTTAACACAATCTGGGAATTGTAATATTTACATTTCTTACAGTAGTAGTAGTTGTCGTATAGTAGTTGAGTAAAAGACAAAAAAAAGCAACGCCCAAGCTGAACATCATATCTGTGCATCGATAAAGCTTTTCCCCACATGTAGTTTCTCCCACTATGTCCCATCTCAGGTCCATTTTAATGAAAAATGTTCCTTTACATTTGAAGAAAAAGTCAAGATCACATAAAAACAAACAGTGCAGCCTCTGAAAAGGAGTACTTAGGCATACTTTAGCAATTCAGAGTTTCAATTGCACAACTTTTGGGGCCTTACAAGAACTACATTGAGATAATTTTCTAAGCAAAAGAATCTCTTTTCAGTTTTATGGTTGAAGCTCAAAAAACTCTGCATCTTTTGTTTTCCCCTTCGTGTTGTGAATGCCTGAGTTTCAAACTCAATGCGTGGAGTTTGTGACTCTTTCTTTTAGAACCTTGAAGTCTCAATCTCAGTCTGAAATAACGCTGATGACATAATCACAGCCATTTTGTCAGACTTTAAAAACCTCCAGAGCTCCAGAGCCACGTGAGATATTATACAACTGTGTTCGCAGGCTGAGTGGCTCCATTCATGTGGCAGTAAAGCGATCCGTAAAGTCACCAGAGGAATTTAAATCATGTTTCCCACTTGTGAGGCAACACTGAAGAGCTCAGGTCGTCTCTCTGGCGTCTCTGCGTCCTCCTCGCAGTGAGATTAATTTGTTTCCATTAGGACAGGAGTTATAGCTCCCCAGAGGTAGCACAGATACAGGAAGTCTTTTTATCTTCTCATCAACTGTTGGCTTTATTTAAAAAAAGGAAAACAGATCTGGCTTGTGGTTGCAGGGCTGAGATAAAGTGTTATCTTTCTGGTTTCTTTGGTGGTTTTAGTGACCATGACAACAATGATGCTGGACATAACCTGTGCATTTGACATGTTTCTTTACATGCATATTCATTCCATATCATCGTGTGGACACAGTGGATACTGTGTTGTCAACCAGCATCTAAGCTGTTGTAGTTTTTAGTGCTCGTCTGTGCTTCCTCTGAGATGTGCATATTGTGCTGCATATTGTCAGCGTGTTGTCACCCTCCCACAGTAACTGGCAACAGAAGGTAAATCATACATCCAATCTTTCTCACATTCAAACAGAAAAATTAGAGCAGCTCCTCAATCACTAATCAGGGATTAGTCAGTGGAATATGGTGGAAACTGGCACAGAATATAAAGTACAGCGAGGCAGGTGGGCTCGGTACAATGCAATTTACTGCAGGACTGCAAAAAGATATGCTGCAGGTGAAGAAGCAGGTGGATCTTGCACACCTACATGTGCAGGGAAATGATAGAACACAGAGGTGCATGGAGGCAGGTGAGGGATAAGACATGTTAATATGCACAGACCCAGTGGGCATGACTCATAATTCACACCTGACAAACTCATCAGTGGAACTTAATCATGCACACACATACTCTTGAGCCACAACTTAAGAGTTGCAATTTACAGCAAGACTGCAAAATATTTTGCAAGTGCAGAAGCAGGCGGCTCTTGCAAACCTCCACTGGAAGGAAGTGATAAAACACAGAGGTACGCTGAAGCAGGTGAGGGACAAGACAGTTGTAAGAAATGTTAAAACACACAGAACCAGTGGGAACAACACTATTATGCAAGACTGTGGGGTCAGTTGCACTGATCAGTTGGTCAGGTGTAAATTATGTGTCATGCCAGGTGTTTGTTGTGTGTTTAACACCTCTTACAACTGTCTTGTCCTTCACTTGCCTCTATGTACCGCTATCATTTCCTTTCAGTGCAAGTGGAGGTTTGCACGATCCACCTGCTTCTGCACCTGCAGCATCTTTTGCAGCCTTGTTGTAAATTGCATTGTACCAACTCCTAAATTGTATTGTCTAATTAAACTAGACTGTGGGGTCATAGAGCCACTGATCAGTTTGTCAGGTTTGAACTCCGTGTCGTGCCCGGTGTCTTTTTGTGCGATTTAACACTTCTTACAGCTGCCCTATCCCTTGCCTACCTTCATGTTTTATCATTTCCTTCTAGTGCAAGTGGAGGTTTGCAAGATCTACCTGCTTCTGCACCTGGAACTTATTTTTGCAGTCCTCAGATAACCTGCATTGTACAAACTTCTAAGTTGCAGCTCAAGTGCGTGTGTGTGTGACAAAGCAGGAGTTAGTTTCACTGATCAGTTTGTCAGTTGGGAATTATGAGTCCTGCCCACTGTTTGTTTTTGTTTTTTTGTGCATTTTAACATTTCTTCCATCTGTCTTGTCCTCACATGCACCTCTATGTACCCGTATGTTATATAACTTCCATCCAGGTTTGTAAGATCCCTTTGCTTCTGCACCTGCAACATATTTTGCAGCTCTGCATTAAAATGCATTGTAAGAACTCTTAAGTTGTGCCTTAAGAATGCGTGCCTGTGTGTGTCCATGTGTGTGTCTGTCTGTGTGTGTGTGCGTGTATCTGAACTTATTGAACCCATCTTCTGCGCGCGCTGGAAAATGTGCCAGGCTTGCAGCATCCCTCGGACGTCATGGCAACCTGTGGGGAGGCAGCGGGGAGGAGGGGCGGCGCTGACTGTGAGAGCTGAGTGCGTGCGTGCGTGCGTGCGTGTGTGCATGTGCGTGTGCTGTCTGATATTTGGTTGTAGTCTGTACTAGTGGCTGAGCAGGACGATCAGAGTGCAGCAGCGGCAGCAGCAGCAGCAGCAGCAGCAGCAGAAGGCGGCGGTGGCACCATCAGAGGCGGGAGGGAGGCTGGTAGGATGTTGCGTCTGAGCTGCCGATTTAGGCTGATCAGAGCCGGAGCTACGATGCAGTGACAGTCTACACGAAGACACACACAGACACACACACACACGCACACACAGAGGGAGAGGAGCAGCACACGAATGCGCACGGGAAATGATCCGCTCCTAGACTATGGCACCGTCGGGCTCGCGTAGTATCAAGCGGGGCTGTCAGAGAGTTTTGTACTGGATCCCGGTCCTGTTCATCGCCCTCATAGTGGCTTGGTCATACTACGCCTATGTTCTGCAGCTTTGCATAGGTAAGAATCCTCTGTCTGGGTACTACGAGCATGAGGTGTGCGCGTATCTGTGTGTGTGCGCGCGTGTGTGTGTGTGTGGAGCAGAGAGAGAGAAAGGAGGAAATGCCTCCTGACTGTTTTTGTGATGTGAGGAGGAAAAGCATTTCAGCAGTTTGGGGATTTTTTCTTCTATTTGGGATGCAGAGGACTGGCTTGTTGTTTATGCAGTGTGTGAATGGTCACATGACAAAAACACTCCATGCATTTGTCAGCATATTGTCACAGAGAAGTGTGTGGTTTATTTATTTTTTTGCATGAAAAACTGCAGACGGAAATAGAAGCACTGCTCAGCCTGCTTTTATCATGAAGTGCATTTTCATGCATTACCACAGGATGTAAGAATGGGGGATTAGACCACCTGATTCCACCACCACCACTCCATCAGCACTGTCTTAAAGTCTTACTCTAATACCTTCAGGCTCTTGTAGTCGCCGAGCTTCATTTCCTGAATTTGCATCCTCCACCAAAAAAAACACCAGCGGCTTCGTCTTTTGGCAAGAAGTCTGGCCGTTGAATCAGGCCCGAATCCTTGTTTCGCCGGTGGATGGTTGCAGACAGCGAGCCTCCTCGGTGAACGGTGAGCACAGAGTTGACCTGGATAGTGAGTAATGGTTTCTAGGATGTCTCAGAGGAGTCTCAGCAGCCTACTCTTGTGCTCCATTTGGCAGCTTGTCAGACCACTAGGAAAGAAAATCTCCTCTGTCAAAAAACGAGGGGGGGATGAAATGGAGACGCTTTAATGAGAGCAAACAGAGGAAAACACAGGAAGAGGAAGGGGTTTGATGTCCTGGTCGTCTCCAAATGAGGCCAAACATGCAATCCGGCCTCATCTACACCTTTATGTTTATCTTTACAGCCGAGATGCTGCAGAGGAGGCTGGGTTCACTGGGTTCATCAGAGAGAGGCCTGTCCCTGGATGAACCTTTTCTAGAATTACAGGTCGCCGCTTGTCTGCTGCCCTCCACGAGATATTAAACCATCTTTGATTACTGCAGGAAAACAGAAAAGCAGAAAGCACTCTCAGCACTCAGGGTTTGTTTTTTTCCTTTTAAACGGTGTTGTTTTTGCATCCTTTGGAACAAGAGTGAAATTGTGACGGTCACATGGGACGGAGAGATGAAAACAGCAGCAGGACGGCAGCTGCTCAGGGGCAGCATGTGCTCTGCAGACAGACACTGAGTCGGTTGTGTGAACGTACCGTCAGCTGATACCTCTCGCTCGTCAGCTCAGTTAATCCCATTGTCTGGCTTACATAATTCACCCCAAGCAATCTGCGCTTGACCCACTTTCTTTTTTACATCTGTCTTTGAACAGTTGGTCCTCTTTTCAAGATTTTAAATATGTGGAATCAGGTGATGTTCTTGGAGTCAGAAATACCTCGTTGGGGCGAGAAACGTCTGCAAAGAGGGAAAAGAGAAACATTGATGGAGTGACTTTAATGCTCACCGACACTTTAATATACATCCTTGCACATGCCCTTAATCATACACACACACACACAGGCTGACAGACTCTGGAGCTTTTATGCTGGCAAGGCAGCATGCACACGATTTTTGGCTGCATGCCTTGATTCAGCTCCTTGGCTCACCTTTTCTCATGTATGTGTGTGTGTTTGTGTGTGTGTGTGTGTGTGTGTGTCTGCAGCTTTGCAGGCTAATTGCTGAAGATGGATGATGCTCAGCTAATCTCTGCTCAGATATTAGGACAAATATAAAACCAGTGTCAACTCTTCCAAAAGGTCCCCATGTGGCCTGTTTTTATTGTGTAAGTGCAGCTTTTTAGGTAAAATAAGATAATGTGAAATGAAAATGTAATAATCCTGAAGGGAAGAATTTTGCCAGATGTTTGCTTAGAAAACAAAATGCAATACATAAAAAAATGCAGCGCCTAGCAGAAAAGGGATAACATAAAAAGTACACACATTACTGAAAATAAACTAAATAGGCTTAAATAGGACTAGAATAGAAAAGTAAGAAGAGATACTGGCAAAGATACTCAGGTAAAAGAATCATATCCCATGTGCTAACAAAGCATTGAACTTGAAATTGGAATATTGCACCTGAAAAATGAAATACTGCACATGTAAATAAAAAAAATACACCTGGAATTGAAATATTACACATTATAATAAAATATTACACATTAAATTTAAATATTGCATCTAAAGGATGAAACACAAGTTGACATATTGCACCTAAAAAATCAAATATTGCACATGAAATCAAACATTTATACATGAAAATGGAACATTGCACATTAAATTGAAATAATGCACCTGATAAAATGGAGTGACATTCCACTGATATGTACCTAAAAGTGAAATATTGCACATGTAATTAAAACACTGCACAAATATTACACATTATAATGAAAAACCGCACATGAAATTGAAATGTTACACATTCAATTGAAGTATTAGACATTCAATTGAAGTACTGCAACTTAAAAAATGAAATAATGCACAATACATTGACATGTTGTACATGAAAGGGAAATATTGCACATGTAATTAAAAACACTGCACAAATATTACACGTTATGGAAATGTTACATACGATAATGAAACATTGAACATTCATTTGAAGTATTGCACCTGAAAAATGTAATATTGCACATTACACTGACACCAAAATAAAGTATTGCACGGGTTATCAAAAGAGTGCACGTAATAGTGAAACTGTTATTGCACAAAAGTAATTTCGCAAATGATGCTGATATTGTTGTGTGTGTTGGTGCTCATTAAGTGTGAGGGCGCTGATGTCGGCCTGCAGCTTCCCCCGTGTGGGAAATCACATACAAACAAAGCTGTTTCCTGTATCTGTGTTTTCCTGTATCTGTATTTTCTTGTATCTGTACTTTCCTGTATCTGTACTGCTGCAACAGGTGAGCTTCCCCACTGGTGGTGAGGATAAAGTGCAGTCTAATCTAATTTAAACCATGCAGGATGTTCGTGTCAATGCACAGGAACGTTTCTTTACATGAGAGGTGCAATGAATCAAACTATTCAACAGGGAGCGTGTTGCGTATGGATTCTGTGGCCGCTGTGGTGCTGGACACCGGGATGAACTACTTACAGAGTCAGCGTTTCTCAGTTTTGCTAATTTGGACTCGCTGACTGTCAGTCAAACACACTCGGCGGGGGTTCGTCCCCGGGTGAAGGATTTAAGAAGAAAAATAACACTTTCATTCTCTTCTTGTTAACCTACATATTCGTGTCCCGCAGCGTCTGACTGTGTCTTTTAATTTTTCATTTTTTTTTTTCCCAGAGTCCATTGAAGACACAGGAGAGAAGGGTAAGTGTTTTAGAATGCTGTTTAACATCAAGAGGAATCATAAGTGTGTTCAGCTGCTCGGCTGCGTCTGTCGGAGGAGGTTCAGCAGCTTTCAGTCTGTGCAGAGGCAGCCCCCATCAAAACACTGTGATCTGCTTGTATCAGCTGGAAGTGTGTCAGAAGATTTTGTCTTTAACTCAGCTCTGTGTGCAGAAGCAGACTTTTACTCACGGAGCGTAGAGATGAGTCGAAACAGAACAAAATGTGACAGCTATCTTTCATTTTGAACCTTTTCTTTACAGATGCTGATTAGTCCAGATTGAAACATGAACACAACTGATTTTGTAGTGACGTTCATACTCCCCAGAGGATGGATCTTATTGGCTTTAGTGGCTTTTACTCTGCAGTCTCCAGCAGGTCAAACGCCACATCCAGTTCTTTGATTTATCACCAAATAATTGCAAACCTTACTGTCTTTCTCATCAGTCTCAGCTGTGTTTAGTCCTAATTAGCACATTTCAACATGCTAACACTGGCGGTGGACTGATGTTGGTCTGTCAGTGCTGACTGTGAGAGAACAGAAAATACACAACAATTTAATAATAACAACAAATCAGACACAAAATTGCTGAACTTAAATCTGCATTGTCTTTGTTTCCTGAGTTAGATCTACACTCTAAAAATGTGTCA